GTAGAAACTAACTCTGGCCGGGGGAACGCAGAGCAGAGACATCCTCACACAAATTTTATGGTTTTGGCCGTTTCGCTTAAGACATCCTCACAACTCTCGTTTCTGAGTTGGCCGGGATTGGCCGTTTCGCCTGAGACATCCTCGAACAATTGCGCTCCGGGGCGCCGCGCGAGAGGTGGTCCGGGCCGTTTCGCCTGAGACATCCTCGAAAAATTGCGCTCCGGGACGCCGCGCGAGAGGTGGTCCGGGCCGTTTCGCTTAAGACATCCTCGAAACTCTGAGCCCCGAGGTGCCGTGCGAGAGGTGGTCCGGGCCGTTTCGCCTGAGACATCCTCGAAAAGTTGCGCTCCGGGACGCCGCGGAGAGGTGGTCCGGGCCGTTTCGCCTGAGACATCCTCAAAAAGTTGCGCTCCGGGACGCCGCGCGAGAGGTGGTCCGGGCCGTTTCGCCTGAGACATCCTCAAAAAGTTGCGCTCCGGGACGCCGCGCGAGAGGTGGTCCGGGCCGTTTCGCTTGAGACATCCTCGAAACTCTGAGCCCCGAGGTGCCGTGCGAGAGGTGGTCCGGGCCGTTTCGCTTGAGACATCCTCGAAACTCTGAGCTCTGCGATGCCTTGCGCGAGGTGGTCCGGCCCGTTTCGCCTGAGACATCCTCGAAACTCTAACTTCGGAGATGCCGCGCGAGAGGTGGTCCGGGCCGTTTCGCCTGAGACATCCTCGAACTTCTGAGCTCTGAGATGCCCTGCGCGAGGTGGTCCGGCCGTCTCGCCTGAGACATCCTTGTAACTCTGAGCTCTGAGATGCCGTGCGCAAGGTGGTCCGGCCTGTTTCGCACAAGACATTCTCGCAACTCTGAGCTCTCAGATGCTGCGCGAGAGGTGGTCCAGCCTGGGGGCCCAGAAGACCACATGTTACATATCCTCCATGGGACCCTGCGAGCCTCAGGAGGCCCCAGAGAGGTCCAGGAGGCCGCAGGACGCCCAGGACAGGCCCCAGGGGCCCCCAGGAGATTCCCAGGAGGCTCCCAGGAGGCTCCAGGAGGCCCTCTATCAGAACGTGTCAAGTTAAGACACATCTGGTGTCGATTCGCCTCCATTTTGAGGGGCCCAAGCGGCCACAGGTTAGATATCCCTCCTGGGAGCCCCAAGAGGCTTGAGGAAACCTCAGGTGGAGTTCAGGAGGACACAGGAGGCCCAGGAGGGAGCTCCAGGAGGTCCCCAGGAGGCCCCAGGAGGCACCAGGAGGCCGCAGGACGCCCAGGACAGGCCCCAGGGGTCCCAGGAGGCACCAGGAGGCCGCAGGATTCCCAGGAGGCTCCCAGGAGGCCCCAGGAGGCTGCCTATCAGAACGTGTCAAGTTAATACGCATCCGGTGTCGATTCGTTGATTTTTCCTGCTCTTGTGCCCCCCCCTCCATTTGGAGAGGCCCAAATGGCCACATGTTAGATATCCCGGCTGGGAGCCCCAAGAGGCTTCAGGAAGCCCCAGGTGGGGTCCAGGAGGCCACAGGAGGTCCAGGAGGAAGCCCCAGGAGGTCACCAGGAGGTCCCAGGAGGCCCCAGGAGGCCCCCGCAACTCGGAGCTCTGAGACGCCGCGCTCGAGGTGGTCCGGCCCGTTTCGCCTGAGACTTCCTCGCAACACGTTTCGCCCGAGACATCGTCGCAACTCTGGGGTCCGAAATGCCGCGCGCGAGGTGGTCCAGCCCGTTTCGCTGGAGACATCCTCGCAACTCTGGGCTCCGAGATGCCGTTCGGGATGAAGAAGAGGTGGAGGAGGAGGAGGTGGAGGAGGAAGAGGAGGAGGAGGAGGAGGAGGAGGAGGCCTGGTTTAACATGCAATGCCAGCCCGCACTGGACGGGCACGCAATCGACATTGGAAACCGCAGTGGGTCTAAAAACCCTGTTTGGGGATACTGCACTCCGACTATAATAAAAACTAACTCCGGCCGAGGGAACGCGGAGCAGAGACATCCTCACACAAATTGTATGGTTTTGGCCGTTTCGCTTGAGACATCCTCGCAACTCTGGTTTCTGAGTTGGCTGGGATTGGCCGTTTCGCCTGAGACATCCTCGAAAAATTGCGCTCCGGGACGCCGCGCGAGAGGTGGTCCGGGCCGTTTCGCTCGAGACATCCTCAAAACTCTGAGCCCCGAGGTGCCGTGCGAGAGGTGGTCCGGGCCGTTTCGCCTGAGACATCCTCGAAACTCTGAGCTCTGCGATGCCTTGCGCGAGGTGGTCCGGCCCGTTTCGCCTGAGACATCCTCGAAACTCTGACTTCGGAGATGCCGCGCGAGAGGTGGTCCGGCCCGTTTCGCCTGAGACATCCTCGAACTTCTGAGCTCTGAGATGCCCTGCGCGAGGTGGTCCGGCCCGTCTCGCCTGAGACATCCTTGCAACTCTGAGCTCTGAGATGCCGTGCGCAAGGTGGTCCGGCCTGTTTCGCACAAGACATTCTCGCAACTCTGAGCTCTCAGATGCTGCGCGAGAGGTGGTCCAGCCTGG